TTTATGCTCAACCTTGAGTGACTATATATATATATATATACATATATAAATATATATAAGAAAACTAAACTAGTTTATGCTCAACCTTGAGTGACCAATAGTGTAAGACTAATTCGTAAAGTCCTTAGTCTTCCTTGGTAATAGGCCGGACTAAGAAAGTTTCAGGAATTATATGTCCTCATAATAAATATTATTTGGACCGTCGTAGCCCTAATATGGGTAATAACCTATGCTAAACCAGAACTGATGGAACCCAGTCCCTAATACTAAGTGCAGGGCAGTAGACCTATGAATGTGGACAAGTGTCATAATTGTATGACCTGACCTCATTCAAATATCTGATATGTTAAAATGGAAAAAGTATTAAATAATAAAACCATTAAAAACAATTTTAGAAAACTTATGTTCCTCGTGCTATTACGAGCACATTTAGGAGACTTCAGTATTAAGAGTACATTTAGGAAACTTGAGTTCCTCGTACTATTAAGAGTACGTTTATAATTTGCGTACTGTTTAAGAGAACGTTTATAATTTGCGTACTGTTTAAGAGAACGTTTATAACAGAGTCTAATGTGGAGGCCCGGCTTATTGCACCCTAATACTAGGTGCAGGGCAGTAGACCTATGAATGCGGACAAGTGTCATAATTGTATGACCCGAAATAAGACAAGTGTCATATACCATACTAAACCAAGTTAAATAACAGTTGTTAAATTTAAAAAAAAACTACCCTAACTTTTTAATAAGAGTAGCGATGCATTGGTTGACCCAGAGGTACCTTAAAAAATCAATCTCATTGATAGATAGACAACTTAAATTCTTCATATTGACGAGTAATAAACATTCACTTAATCTCGTCTCGACCGGACTGTTGGTTCCAAATTATTTCATCTTGTACCAGAATTGGGTCAATCTAGCCACACGTAAGCGTTATACAAGTCCATCCATACCTAACAGACCCTTCTGGCAATATAGCATGCCACTTTAATGGTTTATGGTGGAAAAAAAATCAACAAAAAAAATAAGCGTTTACGTTCAAAGTTTATCCTAAATATAGTCCTATGGGTTTACAAATAGGTACTTTTTTTTATTCATTTTGTCAGTTGTGAATAGTTTCAAATCGCCTTTTCATTAAAAAAAAAAAGTCAATTTCTCAGGTGCAAATTTGGAAAATTTTCATGGTCGATTTGCTCCCGATATACTATAAAACGCTTAAAAAACAATTTTTTTGCGTTTACGTTTAGAGTTTATCGCATACAGGCAAACCGTATTGAGCTTAGCTGCAACTGGACTCGCAGATGCTCTGTCTCAGAATTTTTTTTTT